CACCGAGGGCATCCAGTCGCCCTGGATCCAATCCCTGGGCAGAGCAGTCCTCGAGGAAGATCCGCCCCGAGCGGACTTCTTCCCCTTACCCTGCACCGCCGCCTTCTTCGCGCGCTCCAAAGCCGACGTCTTGTCCTTCACCATCGTCGCCGGCGAGGCTCGAACGGACCTACGGCGCTAGGGTGAGAGCGGAGGTGGCAGAGGACCTTGCGGGGGGAGAAGGAAAGGCGAGAGCACACTGTTGGGGAGCCCCGAGCCGGCAACTTATAAGGAGCCGCTTCCGAGTGGCTGACCGGTAGGCCCAGGCGATCCCGTCAAATCCCGCAACAGGCGCGCACGCAGTACGTGGCGAAAAAGGTGGCACGGAGATCGAGGAGCTTCCATCCTATCCCATCTGATTAATTCGGCCGCCCCCGTCCCGCTCGCTTCCCGAAATTCAAATCCCGCAAAATCCGCGGGCTGCAGAACAACTCATCAAACTGAAGAGCCCGCTCGTGCCGGCACTCGGTATTCCACAAGTAAGGAAATTCACTCGACGAGAGACCAAGAATGGATCAAGGTGACCGAAAGAAGTTGACAACGTCATCCATGACGATTGATCCAGTACAAGACATTCGTATAACGCTAAGAACCAGTCGGAAGGACCCCCAACTCCTTCCCCACTCGAACCTCGATCCATTCGGGGGCTAATGATGAAGCTATGTACCTAGAATAGGGGCATGGACCTGTCCTAAGAGCCCTATCCAAGGACATCCCTGGAAGAAGTCACCTTTCAATCGACTTGAAGGTATCCCACTCGACGGATTCAAGACACTCGACCAGGAAGCTACCACTCGACGGATTCAAGACACTCGACCAGGAAGCTACCACTCGACTACGAAGCCAACCACTCGACTGACAGGAGATCTAAAGTCACTCCGCAAGCAAACGGTCGGCCATTAAGTAGTCTTTATGGACATTATAGCACTTTATTAGGGACGTTACCAGTAACGCCCAGTCTTAATGTATTTTAACCCTGCATTACTGAGGACCGGAGGGGTCTGACGAACTCTATATAAGTCACCCCCTCCTCAGTAACAGGGGTTGGCACCCCTGTAATTCATACACACATAATCCAGTCGACCACCTCCGGGCATCGAGACGTAGGGTTGTTACTTCCTCCGCGAAGGGGCTGAACTCGTACCTCGTGGTGTATTTACAATTTCTCCATAGCTGAGATCTAGCCTCTCCGTACATACCCCCTACCTCACTGTCAGAGTTAGAACCACGACACATGGCACCACCCTGAACCACACGAACGTGTTGGTGGCGTTACGCAATCATCATCGACAGTTTATTGGTGTCAGACGATATACGATTCTTGATTGAGTACGTAGCGGAGCTACACACTATCCGTGATCTTTTTTCCTTGTAGACACACTTCTTTGTTCTCCATTCACGTGTGTTTGAGAGGGAAAAATGCCGAGCCTAGCTAGGTGCGTGCTACTCTGAGCCGAGCACATGCGAGCTTGTGCCTCCCCCGCTACTGCCAACCAACCAGATGAGCCGTGCTGCCCTTCGGGCCTTCAAAACCCAAAAGTCTTGCGCCAACTTTGGTGTGTCTGCCACCTGTTCGGACGCGAGCGAATCCTGCGAGCCCTGTCGAGCTTTACGCCGGGAAGGGGCCAGCCCCCGCCGCGGCCGTGATGAGTGGGCGGATATCTTTCCGGCGGGGTGTCAGCGGCGCACGAGCGTGACCACGATCGATGTCGATCAGAGCCGCATCGTCGGGTTGCACACCGCGACGGATCCCGCCCGACCCGACCCACGCGATCCCAATAAAATGTTTGTCGCGCGCACAGCGAGGCACGGCCCGGCGGCCTCACACTTGTCGCGCCGCACGGGGAGCCAGATGTGCGCGACAGTCGTCCACTGACGGCGACGATCCACGTCGCCGGCCGCGGTGTCACCGCGTCCAGATCCACTCCGCCGCTGTCACGCCGGACACACGTTGCAAATACGGTGCGTCCAACAGCGACCCGCCCATCTAGTTCCGTGGCGCTCACTCGGGTCGGGTGAAAAAGATGCCGTGCACGCTGGTCACTGGTCACTGGTCACTGGCTAAGGGCAACTCTAGCGAGAGTCGCTGTATTATCACGTGTGCGAAGTGTGTTTCATACTAGTACTATGGAGGCCTCGAGACGAAGCGCAAATTTAGAGCCGTCGTAAACCAAGCATTCAATTTTGTCCATACAGGATCCATTTGACACTGGCCACAAGATCTCTTCCTTTTCCATCTCAACGATAGAAGTTTTTCTAATGGATTTCGACAAAAGTTACAACTAGAAGTTCGACAAGCATTTAAACTACGGCTCTCTATTAGAATTTGAACTCAATGCTCTTCCTCCGTCTGGAAGTGACCTCGCAGACGAGGGAAGCTATGCTGCCATGACTTCCGCCACTACGCGGTCGACGAGTGCATGGGCACCTTGACGCAGGAGAAGCCCAAAATTTTGAAGGCCGCCGTGACTGCGAGATCCATTTTGTCAAGGCGGCCGCCGACAATGGTCAAAGGAGCGGAGGATGACGGGGAGGCACTCTAAGCCAATGGTTGACCAAACCTTATATAGCGCACGCTCCTCGACCCACTGGGAGTAGTCTTATACCCTTCCCAAAAATCTCTCTCGGCAGTCCGACGGGGCTGAATGTAGTGACGAGAAAGGAATAATATGGTGGCAGAGTGGCGCATGTGAAGGGGTGCGATGGGAGTGAGTGTGGTGGCGACGAGGAAGGGAAGATAGGGGTGGAGTGGCGTCGCCGAGCCGGGTGCCCAGATTTATATACGTGCGAATGGGCGCGCTTCGGCAAAAGAAGGCCCGAATTTGGGGCGTGCTCTTCCCGGTGAAAAAGCAAGTGCATCATAGGTAGTGGGTAAGCAACAGTCTTATATATGACAATGACATTAACCAAGCGACGCGCGAAAGGAAGAGGTTGGACTGGAACCCTCCTCCCATGTGAGCGATTGCTTCTGGAGGCCATTACATATCAGCGTCCCCCAACCTTCAAATATGGAGACTCGCACGCTTAGTTTGCAGCGGCCTCCGTAAATTATGCAGTCTAAGGGGCGTATGAAGACTCTGCTAAACCGCCCATTTCGGTGGCAGTTCCCATACAAATCGTTATTATGGCGATCAATCTGATATGGCGACTCTTGTATAGTTGCTCTAACTGTGCCGTTGGCTGCATGTTGGTGAAGAGAGCGTATGAACCTTCAGGTGGCGGCCTTGTTCGCCACGCTGTTCTGTGGTGGCATACAGGGGATGTATGACAATTTTTATGAATTCGTGAGCATGAAGGAGGCGTTCTTGATCGAGCCCATACGGGTGATGGCAACAACGTCGTGCCGCCAGAGGCTGAGGGGCACCATGCCACGTGGATCAACTTTGACTTCTTGTATCTGGTTTCGACGACAACATGGAGAGCCCGACCTCGAGTTCGCTAACCGCCTAGCTTAGCGTCAGTTGAGGACACATGACACCCCCTAGGAGATGCCAAAGTCCTCACCAAGGTTCAACCACTCTCGCTCCACCATCTCCTCCATCAGCTTTCATCACGTGATTGTCCATGGGCGTGTCAAACATGTCGTACTTGTACGTTGCACGCATGTGCCCTTGCGAAGCCATCAAATGTCGACTTCCTGTACTCGCGTCGATCAATGTCGTCGAGGAAGTTGAGACCGTAGACCAGCATGCCGCATACCTTGATGTGGAGAAGGCTACATTTTTTAAGGTCAGCGTGAGTACTCTGAGTCGACAATTATTCATCCTTACGCATCCTCCTCGACCCAATGGGAGTATTGCCATACCCTATCGCAGAACTCTCTCTCGACGCGATTCTCTTGTGGCGAAGGGCACAATGGCCATTTGGATCAATATCGACTTCTTGTACCCGGTCTTGGCGACAACATGGAGAGCTCGGCCTTGGCCCGTTAACCGCCTAGCCCTGCATTAGTCGAGGGCACGCGGAACCCATTGTAGGAGATGCCAAAGCACACAGTGAGGTTCAACCAGTTTCGCTCCATCGACTTCCATCCAGTGCTCATGGGCATGTTGGACACTTATGTTGCGCCCTTGCGACGCCAAATTTCATATGAAGCTGACGAATGCCATGTTTTCTCACCAGTGCTGATCAACGTCGACGATGAGGTTGCGACTGTAGAGCAGCATGCCCCATGCTTTGACTACCAGCGGGACTAGTAAGGCGCGTTGGCAGCGGCGATGCGGCCCTCGTCGAAGGCTGAGTAGAGGGCGGGGCGGCGCTGGTCGGCGACGACAGCCTAGGGGCCCTCGAGGTGGCTGAATCTAGTTGGGATCGTCCTTTTTCCCGGTGCGCCAAACATGTCTATAGGTTCTAAAGAAGTGTAGGGACCCGCTAATCCAAGGTTTTCCCGACTCACTCGGCTCGTCTCGTCACTCGACACGTTTCCCCGTGCCAGGTGTGGACCCGAACCTGAACCTGGACCCAGAAGAGATTATATACTCCAAGAGATACACGCCATCTCTCAGTCAGGAGATATACTCCAGCGACCTACCAAAAAACTCTATACGTGCTGCATCGTGCGCTC